TTCCCCACACTGAGACCCCCCCTCACCGCTCCTCCCCTGGCCACCTCCACGCCACCTCCACTTTAACCCCTGACTGTACAAATTTTCCCGTTTAGAGGTAGAGGTAAAGTCACCCTCTACAATGAAGGAAACAGAAAATAGAAATATATTTTTCTTTTCCTTCTGATTCATGAGAAACGTCCTCCAAAGAGCTGCTTTTACTTTCTTACTTTGAGTACATTTCAGAGCCAGTACTTTTTAATTTTACTTGGGTAAAGAGGTTGAATCAGTACTTCAAACTTTTACTGCAGTATTTTTAACAATAGTATCTGTACTTCTACTTTAGTACAGAATGTGTGTACTTTTGCCACCTCTGAATGCCTTTAAAAGCTTTAAAAATTATTTAAAGATAAATCTGTTAATATCTTATAATTATCCAGCTAATTTTGAGTCACCTGCATAAAGAAATTTATCATTAGAAAGAATCGTGCCATACACCTGCTGCTATGTCCAGTTCATCACTGTGTGAATATGCTGTCCTCCATCCTAATGTGCATTCTTCCACTGCTAAAAATAGTGCCTTAGAAACTGTTTTCTAAACATTTTAGACTTTTGTTTGATGGAAAGAACAGGCATAAGCTGTTAAACAAATATTCAACTCTTTTAAATAAAGCTGGGTGTGAGGTGTTTTTAATGATGTGAAATATGAATCACTGGGCTCAGAGCTGCAGGCAGGGGAGGAAACAGTGGACTGCTCCTTTAACGTGAATGTCACTGATGCTGATGAGTGGAGTTACTTTACCTTCAGCAGGTTTCTCGCTGGGGCAAACCATTCGTCTGTGGCAAAAATGACCTGAAAGAAAAAAATTGCTTTGCTAACACAAACAGCTTCAATGTGAAAACACAGAGAACTGAACAGAGTGATTAAACATTACACTAACAGAAACTGAGTGAACAGCTAGCTGGCCTCTTTTCTGAGCAGCAGGGGAGAAAATATTTAGACAGTTAATTGCCGTTAAAGTCAATGTACGCAGGAACTGTACAAAAAATTAGCATTAGACCTGTTTGTGATCATTTTATGTATTTTTGTGTTTTAAGCCAATTAAAACTCTTTTTGTGTTTTCTTCTATGTCTGTTGTCATATTACACTGAACGAATGTTAGGAGCCCTGATTTTATTCACAATTTATTAATTTACTATAAATTACATATTTTAATGAAAGATTACAAACTGCAATATAATTCATGTGTATTCATTGTGTCTTTCGTATATTATATTACTGACTTTACATTGTTTTCATATCAGGCTGTGGTTTCAAACAGTTGTAATGAGTGGAGTGAGTGAACCTGCCTACAGCAGCAGCGTGAACATACTCGTGGTGACTCACCTTCCCTCCGACCGTCTCACAGCCCAGATCGTTGAACTGCAGGAAGTCGGGCTCTGCACACGCCTTTCTTGCCGCCATCCTCTCCGCCATACTGACCTTTCCTTGACTTTCCACTAAGACAAGAACACAAAACTTGAAGCAGCCGCTGTCTGCCAACCTGCTTGCGCAGCCGCTGCCCACAGCATAAAGTTCAGCGTTTGCTCGGCCAGACAGCAGCTGTTTGCTCACACTGTCACTCATTTACCTGCATATCTACAGCTTTGTTAACTCACCTGAAACAGACACAGTTTGACCAGTGCAGTCAGTTTGGCCAACACAAACACACAACTACAGGTGAACAGAAACCTATAAAGACAAATTCCTACCTACAAAATCATGAGCAAAACACACTGCAGCAGTTCTCCAATCACACTGGAGCTGATAAAGTAAAGAGAGCTGACCCAGGAGTTTGTGGAAGTGCCTCCAGATCGGTGCTGGGGAAACCAAAGGACTGGTGGTGAACTTCCACAACGGTGATCAATCTTAAATATCTCATTACTAATTTTACATCCTCACTGCGCACGACTCCGGATACTGTAGCTCCTCTGAAAAAGAGACCCTCAAATCAGAAGTACTTGATAACCTATATCTGTAATCTATTGAAAAAAGCCCTCCATGAAGCTTGGGCATCTTACTAGTCAAGTCAAGTGGCTTTATTGACATTCCAACCATGTGCAGTGGTACAGTACGCAGTGAAGACAACATTCCTCCAAGACCATAGTGCTTCATATAACAGACATATAACAGGGCTAAACAGAAACCTAGGGTTGTTCCTCTTCAGCACTGTTTCTCTTCAGAACTTTAGGTTCTGTCAAGTCATGTTCTGTCAAGTCATATATTGTCCACCCAACCACAAAGACTGTAAAAACTGTTCGTCAAGGTGGCAAAGGGTTTAAATCTATTTTTGCTGACACTGTTTTTTCAGAGACTGTTCCTCTGCCTCTCTGTGCCCCCTGTTCTCAGGGTGACTGCGGTCCAGACATCCCCTGCACCTGTATCAGTTTCTCGAGTGAGGGGGACCGGGGGGCCGGTTGGTCCCTGCTCCGGTTTCCAGGCCAGCTGAGGCTCTGCTCTCTACACCTGTACCAGCTGGGGACAGCAGCTGCGCAGCCATTGCCAGTTCCTGTTCTGGCTCCCAGGGTGAGGGTGGCCATTAACCAGTTACCTCCTGCACCCATAACCACCCCTCGGGTGGGAGTGACTGGTGCCCAGTCGGCCCCGGCACCCATGCGGATCTCCAGGGTGAGGTCAACCAGGAAACAGCCCACCTCTGCACCAGTACCTGCTCCTCGGGTGGGAGCAGTTGGTGTCCAGCAGGTGCCTGCACCCATTCCGGCCGTTTCCTTTGTTTTCTTAGGAGAACAAGTAAAGCCACCTGCTAATCCACCACTTCATCCACCATTACAACAACCTCTACTTCTGACACTAGTTCAGTCGCTAGGTCAGTTACTAGCCCAGTCATCTGCTCAGACACCTGCTCAGACGTCTGGTCAGCCAGAAGTCTGCACCTTCTGGTCCTGCATCTGTTCCAGCTGGGGCCTCTAGAGAGCCGCGCCAGCCATCTCCTCCCGCTGGCGGCTCTGAAGAGTCCGTCCAGCTGTCCACGGTTTTGACGCCATCTGCTGGCGACTCTCTGCAGTGTCTACCCAGCTGACTCTGGGGAGTCTGCCCAGCTGTTGTCTGCCTCTGCTGATGACTCTGGAGAGTCTGTCCAGCCATCAGCTCCACCAACTACTCAACCATCAGATCAGTCATCTGTGGCAGCCACGATACCATCAGATCCACCATCTGCAATAGCCACGATGCCGGCCATCCAACCGCCTGTGGCTGCTACGCCGCCATCTGGTCTTGTGTGTCTGGCCCTGTGCCTTCTGGTCCTGCTCATCCATGGCCTGCACGGCCTGCTTGTCCACGTCCAGCACTACACTGTTGCCAGCCACTTTCCAGGCCATTGGCTGAGCATCTTTGTTGTCATTCAACGCCCTCTTAACTATGTTGCCACCCCCGTTTCCCACACGGTGGGCATCTTCACCTGCTGCTGCTTTCCTCACGGCCAGCACCCTGGACTGTCTCATCACTGCCGCTGCCTCCGCAGTCGGCCTTCAGAACTGCTCCGTTGCCACCACTGGCTCTGCGGTCAGCCTCCTGAACTGTGTCCGCTTTCTGCACAGTTGGCACCCTTTATTGTATAGGCCTGGATTCCTGTAATGTCGACAGACAGTGGCACTTGTAGGTTGCTTTGCTTTCACTCTTCTGTCCAGTTCATCCCAAACCAGCTTGATGGGGTTTAAATCTGGAGACTGTGCTGGCCACTCCATGTTTTCAAGGTTACCATCTTGCTCTTTTTTTCCTGGGGTATCCTGGCATAGCTTGGACTTATGTTTTGGGTCATAATCTTGAAACCCTGACCAACTAGGTGCATACAAGAGGGTATTGCATGGCACTGCAGAATGCTGTAGTAGCTATTTTGGTTCAGGCTCTGGATACAGCAAACCAGCCCCAGACCATCACACATCCTCCTCTATGTTTGACTGTTGATCCAACAAACCTACTCGATGGCGTGCAAAGATCCTGCATGAACCAAAGATTTCAAATTTGGATTCATCATTTCAAATTTGGATTCATCAGTCCATGATACCTTCTTCCAGTCTCCAGTAGTCCAGTGGTGGTGTTTCACGGCCCAGGCAAGCCTCTTTGTCTTATTCTGATGTTTTAGCAATGGCTTTCCTGTCAAACCTGCAGCTCGAAGTCTTCTCTTAACAGTTGAAACTGAGAGTTACTTACTATGACCACTATTAAACTGTGCTTGAAGCTGTTGTCTTGCGTGCCGCCTATCACGCAAGCTGTTAACTTTCAGTAACTTGTCCTGTGATTCAGTTGTGGCTTTGTTTCTGAGTGCCTTTTGATAGTGAAGGAAACTGTACTCACTGACACCTGGACTTTCTTTTCAATTTCTCTGTAGGAGAGACCTACACCTATTTTATAGAGCTATTTTTAAGTGCTATGATGGCCTGTCTGTCTTCCATTGTTAATTGCTTTTTTCTCCCCATTTTTGTAGCAACACACAACTGATGCTCACAAGGGTATGGCACCACAGTGTGTTCCAGCACTGCTTTTATGCAGACAGAGGGGGTGGTATGTAATCCAGAAAAGTTGGAACACCTGTAGGATTTAGTAGCTCCAGCTTTCAAGTCTTGATCAACTTCCATTGTTGCAGAGCAGCTTTAAATTGTTAACCCATGTTGTGTTCTCTGAAAAAGGCCTTTTTGTTTAGTTCTGAAATGTAAATAATTTTTCACTTTTGGGTAACCTTTTTCTAACCTCTGGCAGTTCACCACTTACCTTTGTACCATTTGAACTATTCATTGGACGTGAACAACTTGACTTGCAATAAATAACTGGAAAAACTTGGGGTGTTCTAAAACTTTTGACTGATAGTGTATGTAATTTTTTTTTAAAAACCCTCTCATCACTGCAGGTGGTCTATCCTTCAAGCTGAAGGAATATAATATATATAAAAGCTTGCTCTACTTCTTAGGCACCTTCTTGATTGCCCCTTCCTGCAGCTCCAATCATTGGCTAACTTCCTTCCATGCTACTTTGACCTTGGCCTCTAGTCTCCTTCGCCATGGAAGGTACTGCTCCTTGTGGCTGTTTATCTTGTAGTCAAGCATCTCACTGATCACTGCTGATCGGTGATCAGTGAAAAACATTAATACATGACATCTCACAAGTCAGGTTATATGGTCATTTATTGTACATGTTGCCATGTTGACATCTTGGCAAATTAAAGCAGAAATAATAAAAACTTTCTTTTAAAAAAATTCTGAGTAAAAGATTGCAGAAAATGAAAATGATGTTGGTGACTGAAGAACAGAACAGTGAAAATATGGGGAAGCTTTCTTTTTTCTTTTTCTTTGTCCTGAAGTGGTATGCACTTTCAAATGCAACTTTGCAACCTGTGTTCATTTGTAGCCAAGTTTAAATGGATAATAACCTTTGACAGAAGAAGAAATATTTTCAAGGGTAAGGACTACTAAGAAAATGAACTTGATGAACGTAAGGAAATGCATTGTCTTTACATGTATGCAGTTGCCATTGACTGGTTTTAGGATTTAAGGGTAGGGGAAGAGTTTGGTTCACATCTACCCTTTTTTTTAATGTAATTTTGACCTACACCCTAATAAGATCTGATAAAGGAAGAACTATACATGCATTTAAGAGACTTTATTTGAAAGGTAATATTTTCTAGTACTGAAAACATGGCAAAAATGCAATCTTATTCTAATCCTAGTAGGACAAACAATGGATGTATGGAAGCAGATTATTATGTTCTTTAGAATCATTTGCCATATTCTATACTTTAAGTTAGGAGTTGAAAAACTGCCATTTAAGTTTGATAATCCATGTAGTATGTTTTACTGCATTCTAGAAGGCAGTTGGCCAAAAAGAGCAGTAATCCTCAGAGCCAAACTAGCAATATATAAAAACTTTCAAATCACATCTCTTACTGTATATTACAGCAGAAAGGAAATGTAATGTGTTGTTTGCTTATCCAGAAATCTTGCTAGAACTTGTTCTGAAATCCCATATCATATTTTCATTGTGGATATTTCTCAGATACAGACTGATGTATGCAATTATTTGTCCTATACTGAACACAGGGACACAGAGGAGTCAATTGACAGCATCAAAGACTCGACGCCCAACCCAAACACAAAACCAAACCCAGCATACAGAGGTTCAGTGAATGTGGTTTCAAAGGTGTGGATTTGGATCAGTTTGTCAGAGGAGGCTCTGTAGAAGGACAGAGTGCCAGCAGGATAATCCACATACACTGCTACTCTGTTAGAGACCGAAGAGGGAGGGACTGATCTGATTTTGTTATCATGGCAGACGGAAAAGCCACCATCAGAGCATCGCAGACACCACGACTGATCATTCATTCCAAACTTGCAGTCTTCACTGTTTCCTTTCCGTTTTATTCCTCTGTAACTTACGGCTATGTCAACTTCTCCTCTCCACTCCACCTCCCAGTAACAGCGACCAGTCAGGCGATTACTGCACAACAGCTGCTCCCTACGGTCAAATCTGTCTGGGTGATTGGGATAAGTCTGCTCCTTCTCTCCTACCAGCATTACTTTTCTGTCATTTTCAGAAAGTTTCAGCTTTCTGTGTGCTGTGTTTCTGTCCAGTGTAAGTTCACAGGCATCTGCCAGAAGAAAGAAGACACAGCTTTAAAATAAATGACATAAAGAATATTCAAATACAAGGTTTCAAAATATCATAAATTCCTATTAACAAAGTACATGCTTACATTTTCTCAGACCGGGTTTTAACCTTTGCTCTCCACAGTTTTCCACCCTGGGGAAAAAAACAACCCAGTTAGCTGATATGTTGTCTTTCATTATGAAAAGTGGAAGAGATACTCTAAAATATAAGCTAATGTAGGACTATTAGCAGCCACCAACCAATCAACCACACATGCTCTCAAAACTTTAACTGAAAATGCTAACTTTTTTTCCAGCTTCACTGACAGTGTTAAATCTATAACAGTATTGTGGAGAAGGGCTAAATAGTGTAAATTAGACTTAATACATGTTGTCAAGTTTCAGAAGGGCTTAAATGCATGCTTGTTAAAATACATAAAAGGGCAAAGAGCCTCCATGGCAAGTATTTTTTTTAATTATTATAGTTTTTTACAAAAATCATCGGTGTCTTCATGAATCATACTTCAGAATGTCCAATTTCCAGAGTGGATTTTTCAGTCCAGTGGACAGCAGTCCCACTCCTGAATCTCCTGGATGATTGTAGCTTAGGTCTAGCTTTCTAAGATGGGAGGGGTTAGATCCCAGAGCTGCAGCCAGAGAAGCACAGCCGTCATATCTGATTAGACAACCTGAGAGGCTGAAATTATTAAAAGAAATTGTATTTAAAACAGTGTTATAGGTAAGTTTAAGACATTGGTTGGGATATACAAAAGAATCTGCAGGACACAGTCTTTAGAAAAAGAGAAGTAAACATCTGATTTCTTACCTAAGAGTTTCAAGTTTACAGTGTGGGCTCTCCAGTCCAGCTAACAACCCTCTTACGCCAGAATCCTGCAAGTCATTGTTACTCAGATCCAGCTCTCTCAGGCTACAGGACTCAGAGCAGAGAACTGTGGACAGGGCTTCACTGCTTCTCCACGACAGTTTGCACACAGCCATCCTTTAGAGTTAAGGTTGGAGATGTGTTTTAAACACACTTCATATTCGGTGTTACTGAATTACCTTTCTGGTTGGACAAATCTAGATCACTGCAAATGTTAATACAAAAACACAAAAATGCCACCACCATAAATTAATTAAGAAATTATGTCCCAATTCTATTTAATAGAAATTAATTTGGCAATTTAAGCATTACTGTTGCCAAATTTGAAGTGTAATACTTTGCAATTGATTTCTAACCTGAGAATTTCCAGTTTACAGTGTGCACTCTTCAGTCCCACAGATAGCTGTAGCATTCCTGAATCCTGCAGGTCATTGTTACTCAGGTCCAGCTCTTTCAGACTAGAAAATTGGAGAATTGAGGAAAGATCTTTCCAGCTTCCCCCTGACAGGTGACAACCACCTAGCCTAAGCAGGAAATAGTAAATACAAATGTTTAATGTCTTCAGTTATGTTATTATATTATATATATCATGTCATCCACTTACAGAGCTCTGTTGGAGGCTTTGACCACTGGGAGTAGCCTTAGAAGAGCTTCTTCTGAAGCAGAGTATTTCTTCAAGTCAAATATGTCCAGATCTTTATCTGATGACAGTAAGATGAAGACCAGAGCTGACCACTGAGCAGAAGACAGTTTATCTGTAGAGAGACTTCCTGAACTCAGGAACTGTTGAATCTCCTCCACTAGAGAACAATCATTCAGTTCATTCAGACAGTGGAACAGATTGATGTTTTGCTCAGTAGCCTCATTATCGCTGATCTTTTTCTTTATATACTTGGCTGTTTTCTGATTGCACTCTGAACCTACTGTTTTCTGGAGTCCTCTTAAGAGATTCTGACTGTTCAGCAGTGATAGCCCAAGGAGGAAGCGGAGGAACAAGTCCAGGTGTCCATTTGGACTCTGTAAGGCCTTGTCCACAGCAATCTGATGAAGGAGTTTTAGACTAGATTTGTTTTTAAAGACCTTAGGCTTCTTAGAAGCCATTTGATCTTCCAGCATGTTGACCCCAGAGTTGCTGAATGTAAGATGGACATGAAGAGCAGCCAGAAACTCCTGAACACTCAGATGGATAAAGCAGAACACCTTGTCCTGGTACAGTCCTCTCTCCTCTTTAAAGATCTGTGTGAACACTCCTGAGTACACTGAGGCTGCCCTGATATCAATGCCACACTCTGTCAGGTCTGATTCATAGAAGATCAGGTTTCCTTTCTGCAGCTGATCAAAAGCCAGTTCTCCCAGACACTCGATCATCTTCCTGCTCTCTGGACTCCAGTGCTGATCTGTTTCAGCTCCCTCGTCATACTTGACCTTCTTCATTTTGGCCTGAACCACCAGGAAGTGAATGTACATCTCAGTCAGGGTCTTGGGCAGCTGTCCCCCCTCTCTAGTTTTCAGCACATCTTCCAGAACTGTAGCAGTGATCCAGCAGAAGACTGGGATGTGGCACATGATGTGGAGGCTTCGTGATTTCTTGATGTGGGAGATAATCCTGTTGGCCTGCTCCCTTTCTTTGAATCTCTTTCTGAAGTACTCTTCCTTCTGTGGGTCAGTGAACCCTCTTACCTCTGTCACCCTGTGAACACACTGGGAAAGAATCTGATTGGCTGCTGCTGGTCTTGTGGTTATCCAGAGGCGAGCAGAAGGAAGCAGCTTTCCCCTGATGAGATTTGTCAGTAGCACATCCACTGAGGTGGACTTTCTAGGGTCAGTGATGATTTTAGTTTTGTGGAAGTCCAGAGGAAGTCGACACTCATCCAGACCATCAAAGATGAACACAACCTGGAAGTCTTCAAAGCTGCAGATTCCTGCTTCTTTGGTTTCAGTAAAGAAGTGATGAACAAGTTCCACCAAGCTGAACTTTTCCTCTTTCAGCACATTCAGCTCTCTGAAAGTGAATGGAAACATGAATTGGATGTCCTGGTTGGCTTTGTCTTCAGCCCAGTCCAGAGTGAACTTCTGTGTTAGGACTGTTTTCCCAATGCCAGCCACTCCCTTTGTCAGCACTGTTCTGATTTGCTTGTCTTTAACAGGTGAGGCTTTAAAGATGTCTTCTTGTCTGATTGTTGCTTCTGGTCTGTCTGGTTTCCTGGATGCTGTTTCAATCTGTCTGACCTCATGTTCATCACTGACCTCTGCAGTCCCTCCCTCTGTGACGTAGAGCTCTGTGTAGATCTGATTCAGAAGGGTTGGGTTTCCTGCTTTAGCGATCCCCTCAAACACACACTCGAATTTCGTCTTTAGGCTAGACTTCAGCTTAAATTGACACACAGTATTATGAGTTCCTGAATAAAAAACAAAGAGAAATTAAAACCTGTTAAATCTCACGAACACGAAAAGCTCAACACCAAGTAGCTTAACAAATATGCAGCTACTGAAAATCCCGTAAACACAATGTGTTTAAACAAGTACGTGCACCAGGTTGAAAGGCAGCCTGTCCTTGTAGCACACATATTTTTCTAGTGTATTTAACACCATTCAAGCCTGCATTTTGAGACACAAACTCAAAATGGGAGTTCATTCCACCTTCACTTCGTAGATACATAACCAGCCAAAGGGACGACCACAGTTAAACTATGAGGCTGTGTTTCTGAGTGAGTGGTGAGCACCATTTAATTCAGGGCACTGTTCTGGCTGTTTCCCCCAACAATGGGGTGAGACTGACATAATGGCCTTTAAGGCCTGCAACAAAAATCACTAACACGGTCGAGCTGGAGGTGTTAGAGAAGGCGTTTATTACAGCAAAAATGCCTGACAAAACATACCATCACCCATCTTAAATACCAATACTGTGCTGAGAATGTGGCTGGATTTGAAAGTGAAGTTAATACAAAAAGAGGCATCTAAAAAACCAGAGTGTCAATCGTGTATTGGCGGCTTTGCGCTGTCACTCTGTCACTTTGGGGCAGAAACTTGAAAAATATGTATACAGTGAGGTAAGTAGTAGAATATTGGACCTGTAAGGCACCCAGGTGACTCCCAGGACCCATGGAGTCACCAAGAATCACCTTCCTTGCTCTTCCACTGGCAACAGAAAAGATCATTTACCATTTTGGGAAACTAAGGCTTCCTAAGGCATCCACAGAAGAAAAGGGTAGTGCTGCTCTCCATGTTGGAAGGTTAAACATTCCAAGGAGAATGAGCGCTTTCCTTGCCTTAGCGACATTATTGACAGACATGTTATAACAGATGCTGACATAACAGCAGAAACAAGTGACCTTCCCAGCAGATGAGGATCATATGAGATAACTTTACCACCAAGATAAATGTCAGAATTGTGACCACCACAGGTTCAAAGCCTACCCTGTACAAGGCAGTAGGTAAGTGACATCACATCGACATTACTGAAATACTCGTACTGCTCTGGAGATGGTCGGCCAGCTCCTTTTCTTTCATTCTTCTCAAGAAGTAAAGTGTGATTTTCAGAAATGATTCTCTGCTGCTCCTCCTCTCCTCCACATCTTCACCATCCTCTCTCTCACTCTCCAATCCGACTGAGTCATCTGGGCTCAGAATCCTCTGAAATTTTTTCAGCTCATCCTTCACAAAACTGATGATGCTCTTCTCGAGTTTCTGGAACAGAAATATTAATGCATGTAGCCTGAAGGTTGTTCCAACCAGAATACCTATCACTGATGACAATAAGTGCAGTGGATGCACATTTACACACAGTGAAGATGGAGTCGAGGTCTTTTTGATTCTGCTGGGCATGCTGAACTCTAGAGAGACACATAAAATATTTATGTTTATTTTAGTTATCATGTGAGTTGCTTAAGGATAACAGGTTCAAAATAAAGCTTTTACAGGACTCTGTGCAGTCCAGTAAAAACGTAAATAACTCCTCCAACCTTCCACCCCCTCACTGTTTGTCTGATAGATAGTGAAAAGTATCCCACATAAAGCCGGCTGTATTTTGTTGAGAGCAGTTTTACTTTTGCTAAAGAGCTGTGAGAATAAAAATCTACATCATAGCTCTTTATTAGCAATGCGTTCGATTTTAGACTAATAGAAAGATAATGCTGATGCAAACAGGAACATATTTCAGTTAGATAACATGCTTTATGAACTAGATTAGTATTAGTTAGTACAAGTATATTAATCCTCCTGCTGTAATGGCTGCACCAATCTTAAAAAAAATTTAAGGTACTTTCTCAGATACATCTGCACACTTTCAGCTCCTACCCCGGATCATCAGGCCTCTGTTCATGTTTAAAGTCAACATGTGGACCCTTGGACTGCTCACTCTGCATGGACACACTGCTGGATACAGAAGAGTGCTGCTGCCATTGTCTGATCTTCCTACAATCACAGGAGGATATTTCAGTTAGCCAGCACACTGTGTGAGCCACAGTGATAAAATACAAATAATACAAAGCACCATGCTAGAGATAATCATAAATGAATAAAAATAATAAGCCATGTTAAAATCCTTGATTAGACCAGCATGTTGTAAATGCAATGCTAAAACTTAATATACCGTATTGTTTCATGTTTTTTGGACTATAAGGCGCACTTAAAATCCTTTAATTTTCTCAAAAATCAATAGTGTGCCTTATAATCTGGTGCCCCTTGTGTATGAATTCTGGTTGTGCTTTCTGACCTCGAAACTTCGGTAAGCTACGAAGCCACACCGCTTGTCAATGCTCCGATTATCGGAGCATTACGGCCAAGGGTGTAGATTTGGTTTTGGCATTGGTGGGGACGGATGATTCAACCTTTGAACCCTGCCCTGTTTCTTTTTTTTCCCTTTGTCTTTGCTTCTTGATAAAAAAAAAAAAGAAGGAGAAATATACTTGCCCTCATATGCAGTTCTACATGCTTTTAAACCATTTAAAATCACAATTCATAGTTTTACATTTGAATTATATAATGTTAAATTACTATTAAACAAATGACTGACTAAGTATTTTAGGCTTTAGTTTACTTCAGCCATATTCCATATAAATCAGGTATCATACAAACATAAAAATAGCTTCAAATACAGTCATGACAATAAAAGAATATGACTTTAAGGACTTAACAACATTAGTTCAGTTATAGTACACCAACATCTGAATGACCTGGTGGTTTTTGTCCATAAAACTACTTATCTAAGATGACCACAAAATATCTCTCAGCAAAATTATGCAACATTTTAGTTACTATTGCCCCGATCAAATCAGTGAGCTGGGATTTTTTATTCTAAGCATGAACTACTGTTACAGCAACAGACATGGACTACATGTCCCACACAACAACTCAATGTCCACTATGTGAAGGAGCCAAACACATGCCTTCTCCTCTTGTTAACTGAGATAAACTGCTGGCATGTTTGTTTTACATATGCTGTCCAGTGTCTCCTGGTGGACATGGCATACAGCAGCATTATTTAATCTCATTTGAGTCATTGTTGACCTTACCCATCTTTTTAGTCTTCTGAGAGCACTGAAGCTTCTTTCAGCCTCAGTACATGCGTTTTATCCTCAGATTACAATTATTATTCTGTGCTTGATGTGCCTCACCTTTGGCCCTGGCTCTTCCCCTCTGACTGCACAAGGACATATTGCTACCTGATAAAATAACACATTGATTTGTGCCACATAAAAAGTGAGACATGTCAATTCAGATTCTTTGTCAAATATACACTAATGAATCAGTTTACATCAGCAGCCTAACAACTGTCATGATAATAAATACTAGTTAATCTATAGCACCAAATCATCAGTTACCTGTGACCTCGCCTCTTCACCTCTGTCTGAGCTACAACATGGCAGAGCTGCCTCTGTCACCTGATGAATAACAGTGAGACATTCCACATACAGGGAGTGCAGAATTATTAGGCAAGTTGTATATTTGAGGAATAATTTTATTATTGAACAACAACCATGTTCTCAATGAACCCAAAAAACTCATTAATATCAAAGCTG